AGCGTTAGATTTGAAGTCGAATTGAAGTCAAAGTCTCCAAAATGAAAAAGATATTCATATTCACTACCATTTTATTACTGCTTTTTATGTTTGATTTGTCGCATAATTATCGGGTTTTATCAAACACTGACCCATCGTTTGAATGCACCCCATGTGCCCGAACACGACTCATAGGCTGCTATCACGGCAAGTGTACCTATCGGTGCTACAGGAGCTGTAACAACGGCACATTCAGTTTCATCGGTTTGTATGACCAGGCTATTCATGTAGATTCATTTGTTAACTCACTTATATCTCAAAACAGAGGCCCAGAAGTTCGTAATCGTTGGCACCAAATGAGTCCAACAAACATTTGTTTAAATAGAAAACTTATCAATAGAAATGTTATATAAATAATAGAGTGTAATAACATTAATTCATTTATACTTTTTTGACATTAATTGTGAATTCATGAAGATTTAGTAATTGTACTGTCATTATATTTTCTTATTTGACATATAAAATATCTACTTATAATTATATAATAATATTTTACAAACATTTATCAAAATATATGTAATATTTGATGAGATATCTTAAATTATGAACATTAAAAATCTTAGAATTAAACTACTATCAACTATAAAATTGCAATACAGTATAGGATAAAATGTAGAAATTTAAATCACTAATAAAGCCTTAATTTCTATAATGTTTACCATTTTACTTTATTTTATCAATTTTAAGTTTTTATTTTATTCACTTTAATCCAATAAAAGGCATATTTTGATTTTATAAAGTATTAAACTGTGTAATGCTTATTTAATAAAAATCAGATTTAATTATTTAAAGTTTAATTATTTAACGTTTATGCCATACATTTTTAATTATTAAATCATTTCAATTACTAATTAATTGTCATTTTAATTAATGTTCTGGCTTAAAATATAGGTTTATTCTTAAGTTATCAATGTTATTTATTATCTTAAAATTATAGTTTTATTTAAACTTTAATTAAATTAATTAATAACTAACATTCAATAAATCTAAACCCTTTGTAAAATGAATATTATAAAATTATAATATATAGTACATTTGATTAATATCTTATTTTTTGGAGAATTAGAGATTCAATGAGAAGTTTATGCCAACAGTAATACGAATATAATTGATAGAAAACAGGAAACATTTATTTGAATGAATTCTTTGTTTTAATATAATATAAATTGCACTTATTTTTTCAATAACTTTATATAATAGCTGTTCATGTGAATCATGTTTTGATCAAATGATGAAAATAACCTTAAGATATGTAATAATCTCAAGTGTTCATAAACATTGAATAAACCTAATATATTTGATTATGGCCACTACTTATTTTTTGTAATTTGTGACTTAAATTAAATGTAAATAAATATAACTAAATTTATATTTTAAAAATCGATAATAATTTACATAAGAATTAATAGTTAAATGATAAAGTATAGATCACAATAAAATAAACATAAAAAAGAAGCAATTACATTATTTTAAAATAGAAAATTCTTGTGCATAATTTAAAAACTTTACAAAATCCTACAAATGTTGTGTGCGAGTAATTGGTAGCTATTAATAACACATAGCATAAGGATTTAGTTCATTAACACAAAAATCATATATTTTATAAAAAAGTTTGTTTAACTCGTTTTAAAACTATTTATATACAAAAATGTGCGTCAATTCTGTCGGTACTTTTGTTACCAATTCATATGAATGCTAAACATCGATGAATTGCTCGTAATTCTGACGATTCAACACTTTTGTGGTGAGCCATACATTTATAAATATTGTTTACAGTATTATCAATAAATTGATTTAATTGGGTGGTTAATAATTGTATAAAAACTATACATCAGATTTTATGGTATGTAATTATTGTAAAAGTAAACTAATATAATTTTATTTGCTACAAATGTATTAATTAATTACTTTAACAGTTAGTCCTTGTAAAAGTTTGTTAACTGTGGAAATTTCCATTTAATAACGTATTACAGTATTACTACTAGAAATATAATATTTATTTATTGAATATAAAATTTATATTATAAATGGAGTAGTTTTAACATGAAAATGTACTAATTATTTTTGTTCATAATATTAAAATTTTGAAACTATGCTATAACAGTTTTCAAGCTTATTGGAGAACTTAATTTGTTTTACTTCAGTTTTAAAAACCATCCAGGTTATCTAAGTAAGATCACATTAAAAGATTTAATTAAAACATTGCGAATGACCAAGCACTGTTATCATAATGCAATATTCTAATTTGCTAACATTAATGTAGATATAAATGTTGTCATTTACTGTATTAACAAGCAATATCAACATATTTGAGTGCCACATATTAGAAAATGTTATTACACTAGAATAAAAGATTATCTTGGTATCTCATTAATAACTTGACATGGGTTAATAAATTCAAATATTTACAATCGCTCGCGATTAAGTAATGTCTGGTCATTTGCTTTATACGATCATTAATCACACTCTGATATTATTTTAAATATCTTAAAATTAATATCAAAACTAAATTTAATTAAAAATAGAATTCTGTACACTCTCTAAAATATTTATAATAAATTTTTTTTATTATTTATTATATAAAATGTTAAACATTGTCATACAAATCAAAATATTTATAAAAGTAACATTAGTTGATATAAAATTGTTGGCTCTACTTATTTAATACAGTACAAATGATAACAGATGTAAAACAATTATAACATTTCTACTAACAAAAAATAATTTAAAATTTTAATTTTCTATAATTAACAATAGTTATTGTATAACGATTACATTTAGATAATGGTAATAATTTTTAAAGCCAATTATCAATATCTAAAATCTCGAAATCCAAG